TCATTATTAGTGGTCTTAATTTAGGTGTATGTTCTTACATAGACAAATGGTCGAATTAAATACACCTCAAATTTACGTATCCATAGTCTATTCAATAAATATCCAATTTAAGCTACTAAGGTCATCAAGTTTCTACATTACGCGACGAATGACTAAATTCAATATACATAAGTGCATATCACCTTCAAACAAATTGACCCTAGTTTTCACTCCTTGATCAGCAAACTGTATGTGGTAATGATGGAGGGTCTGTAGATCAAGACGGTCAGCTTTCCAATTTGGGATTGGTTGCAAGCATGTTTCTGGCCCTCATTTTAATGACGATACTGGATCATCCTCTTAACTTACCATAGTTATCTCTCTCAAATTTTATTTGTCCTACAAATGTAAAATGTCCAAAAAGAGGCAAAACTGCAGCCTCCTGAAGATTCTAAGATCTGGGTCAACTATGTAGTTAAAGTGTCCAATGATTAAAGACTTCCAGGGTTTTCGAAAATAAACGTCAACCGAGGAAACTGATGGGTAAGAAATAAAAATAATAGGGGAAAGCCAAACAAACCATTTAGGACAATAAATCAACATTTTCAGGTTTATTTTAATGCAGGTGTCTATTATATTTGAACATATATAAGGAGTTTGAACCGTCGTGTGGCTAAGGCTCCAGTAAACCCATTCATTCGCCCTAGACAACTTTTACACAAGACAAAAACGTGCCGCATTAAGCTCGATTTTATGACCAAATTTAACACTTGATAATATATTTGTACTGAATGTCTGTACAAAGAACTGAGTTCTTATTGCTACACACGTTGCATTTTAGTCCAATTGGAAATTTATTTAACAGAATAAGAGTGATTAAGGACACTTTAAGTTTATTCGCATTGTTCAAGATCTCGATAATGGCAAAATTAACTAAAGTTGAAATATGTATTATATGTATTCTAAAGAATAATTTATGTTTTGTGAGATATGATAATCACTTTTCAACGTAATGATTTATTTTAGATGTATCATATAATTTATTTGCTAGTTCTTTATGGCCAAATGGTGTTATGAGCTATGAAATTGCTTTCCAATTTTACATTTTAAATTTATATTTGATTTTACAAGGAAAATTGGATACGCAAAGATGGATAGTGGCTAGCAGTGGAAACCAGAACGCGCACATCGTCCTATTTGGGGCTCGTCAGCTGGATATACCTGCATCTCAGAGTTAATGTTCACTCTGGGACTTGAACCCAGTATCATTCACTTCAAAAGTCATTGCGTCATTCACTCAGCTACTGAGTCCTGATAGCCACGTGTTTGTGCAATGGAGTGAATTTAAATTCATTTGCTATTATTTTGCTTGAATTTTCCCATTGAGGTTTAAGACTGCGATTGATCATTTTGTAGTTGGGTGAGTAACGCGATATCGTTTGAAGTGAATGGTACTGGGTTCGAGTCTCAGAGTGAACATCAACTCTGAGATGCAGGTACATCGAGTTGACGAGTGTCCAATACAATGAAACGCGCGTCCTGGATTCCACTGGTAGTCCCTATCAATCATTGCTTACAAAAGGCTTGTGAATTAGGGCAATATCGAGGCAATACGCAAGTATACACATATGCCAATAAGAGACTGATCATTTTCAGTCTTAAACCTCAGTGGGAAGATTCAAACAAAACAATTCCGAATGAAAATTGGATAGATTTTTAAATTTATCTCATTTTGTAAGTTCTTACTTGATTTGTCATATCATATTATGTTTTCATTAGGTTCCTCAAATATAAAATGATTTAAATCTCATAATCCTTATGTCATTGAAGGTAGTCATACATACACCGGTTGATTTGTTTTAAGTAATATATTATTTATTAAATCTTATAATGACACTATCATCTCTATTCACGTCTTCTTTTAGACTTTATTTCATTAACTGTTTTCTGTTGATGCTAAAATGGTATCTAAATTAATTATACTGAAAGAGTAGCGAGTTCCATTCATCATATTATCAGAACTTAATTAATCAATCAGTTTCAAAAACATCTGCTTATATAAACATGTATTTTGTTTTAAAAGATGTTTCACAAACATATTTTTCTTTCTGTTACGCATCAAAGTCACTGGAATAACAATAACTTGTGAGGAATGAGGTCAAAATGATGCTATTTAATATAGAGGACAAAACAAGATCAACTCCGTTTTCTAATTGTTCTGTCGAAATTTATAAAAGGGACTAATTGCTTTAGATTAAAATACGATTTCCTTTATTTGTATGCTGACAGCTGATACTGTCCAAACAAAATGGTAAAAAACCATTTGATAAATTAAAAACATTCCATAGAATATTTAAGGACAAAGAGTATTAAAGCAAGTGATCTATTTGTATATTTTATGAATAGTTTAATGATTAAACAGTTGTCTTTGTCTTATTTTCAAATAAACTTAACCTCTTCAAACTAACATGACAAATATATTTTAAGGGAAAATATTTAATTCAGTCATTAGATAATTTTCATTTATATGTAATGTTATTTTGTAACATGTGCTCACTAGTAATCAGCTTAAACAAGAATGGAGTTACAGAAGGGGGAATCTGAGACCTATGGAGTCTAAAATATCTGGTATCCCAGACGACTGTGATGGATGGTGATCATGCAGTATCGCTAAATGACTTCAGTTTGAGGGATGAAGAGTTGGGTCTAAACTCAATAAAGCTAAATTAAAGCATGTGCTCCTGACAAGACCATGATGGCTTATTACTAAGGAGTTGCATGTTAGGACGAAACAGAGATCTGTAGCTCCTTCATTTTTCACATTTGTTCAGCTAAATTCTGCCTATGATGTGAAGTAACTTCAAATAATCAAGGCTGAAAACATCCATTTACTACAACATTCAGATCTTTAAAGATGATTAGAGAGCATGAAGATTCAGGTTTTTCACTCTTGATTTTCAAAAAACACTAACAAATGTATTATGATTGAGATCATGAACTGATTGATGTTAGACCATCAATGAAAACCTGAAAGCAATGGACGGCCATTTTGTCCTGTTGTGAGACTCCTCAGCAGTTCATATCCACAATCCTGCCTGCAGGATTCGAACCCAGGGCATTCAGACTAGCGTGCGAACGCTTAACCTTTAGACCACTGAGCCGGCATCTGACGGTGTTAACGTCTAACCTCAACCAATCTACAAATGTATTATATAATTTATTTTCACTCTATTAACCATCTCAAATGATCGAGATGAACGATTTATTTTCTCTTGCATCACGTATTAGTCTCCGTAAAACAACTTAAAATCACTGTTCATGGTAAAAAGAAAACTGTTATTATGATGAATTAGTATCAGCTATAGACGTTAGGGAAATCAGAAAACAGATTCTCAACACCGTTATTTACTTGTACTCAGATGTATACACTCAAAGTCCCTCACAGTATCATCAAATTTCATAATTTAACATTTTTTACAACAGTGTGTCTAGACGACTCAGTACTAAGACGATATAATGTCATTTGTGCATGACTGTGCTACACCCAATTTAGTTTATCATGAGTTACCAAATTTCTTATTCAATGTTACCTAAAAGCTTCACCTTCTAAATGCTTGTAGTTATCTTGTCTTGAAGGACAACCCAAAAAAACAACTATAAGCCAAAACTTTATTTAAATAAAAATAATATATTTGTAATATCCCAATGAGTAGAAAATTAGATTTTCTGACGTTTCGTGACTTAGTGTAAGTCACGTTTTTTTATTATTTATTCTCTGAAGAAGTGACTTACACTAAGTCACGAAACGTCAGAAAATCTAATTTTCTGCTCATTGGGATATTACAAATATATTATTTTTCACAGGTTTTTAAATCATGAGTCAGTTGAAGCTAGACCACCATTGAAAACCTGGAAGCACTGGACGGCCGTTTCGTCCTGGTATGGGACTCCTCAGCAGTGCGCATCCACGATCCCGCACCACGCGGGGCTCGAACCCAGGACCTACTGGCTTTGCGCGCGAGCACTTAACCATTAGACCACTGAGCCGGCTCAGTTGTGAGATAACAACTCACTGAAGACAATGGTGTACGGTGGCGCAACTTCGTGGATTGGTTGAAGTTAGACATTAACACCGTTGGATGCCGGCTCAGTGGTCTAATGGTTAAGTGCTCGCGCGCGAAGCGAGTAGGTCCTGGGTTCGAGCCCCGCGTGTTGCGGGATCGTGGATGCGCACTGCTGAGGAGTCCCATACCAGGACGAAACGGCCGTCCAGTGCTTCCAGGTTTTCAATGGTGGTCTAGCTTCAACTGACTCATGATTTAAAAACCTGTGAAATTTCGTAAATTCTCCACAAAACCCATTCTGATATATTATTTTTATTTATAACAATCAACCCAATACTCAATTTATTCGAAATTATCAAATCCAACCTTGGTAATGATACCTACAAAACTTCATTTGTTACAAATTAAGTCACTCCACATATATAGTTGCCATTGATTGACTGACTTAATCGAGGTCATTCTTTCCTACTGACAGAGCATTTAAGGTACTTATTTCATTAGTTGGTTCCTTATCATACACATACAGGAGCACATTATTTTTTCAAAATCTTTTATGGTTATACCAAGATAGTTTAATCTTAAATAAACCTGGTCAAATGTTTTATAAATTTTTGATCTATAAAAAGACAATAAAAATTCATTTAATATGGGGATGAATAATTTATTTGTTTTATCTATTTCAAGCTTATTTAAGTATGATTGGTTACTTGATGATAAGATGACAGTTCAGAAATAACCAATAATACGATTGGTAAAAGTTTCCATATTATCCTAAAACATATTGAATAAAATTAATTTTTTTTTTAAAAATGATATGGGAAATGGTATCTATGGGCTTTCAATCAAATTAACATTTACTATAAATCTAATTTATATACTCTATTATATTATGATTTATCATCGTATACAACATATTCATCTTACATAATATCTTATTTAAAATATATTAAAGTTGTTATGACTTTAACAACTTTATTAACTGGATATAAAATTCATAATTTAAATTTCCAACTTAATAAAGATATAATATCATATGTTACAATTTTATTGTTACTATGCTGTTATGCAAATACTGATAACACTATAAATACAACTAATAATGAATATCAAGAAAAGACTTTACTAAACTTAACATTATTATTCAATGATAGTGATCAATTAAATAATAAAAAATTGAATGATTGTTCAATTTCTTTAACAGAATTTATTATTTATTTTTATATTCAACCTATAATTTGTTTTATTGGATTTATATTGAATATATTGAATGTGATTATATTTTGTAGACCACAATTTTCAGGAGCTGCTTATGCTTATATGATTGCAATGTCATTAGCTGATGCAATTACATTAATTAGTTATATGCCATCTGGTTTAGTTAGGTAGGTTTGTGTTTTAATATGAATATATACAATTATTCATAAGTGTTTTTTTTGAACTCATCAGATGTAGCCTCTTTTTTATTTTCATAATTTCACACTCCAAAAACCGTAAAAATTAATGACCAATAACTTTGAACTTTAAAGAGCTTATTACAAAGTGATAGTTGGTTTTGAAATGATTTTACTAGGCCGGAGCCATATGATTTATGTTTAAAATTTTGGATCGAATATGAAATAGTGCGTCCCTGATCGTTTGTCATATTTTATTTACCATTTCACTATTTGGATCTCTGCTGTCCACTAGAACTTTGACGAACTCTTTTCAAAACTGAATAATATTGAATATGTAATTGAGCTCTAACCCTGTATGAATAGTATAGACTCTACCGTTTAAACTAGAAATCCTGTTCTTTATTCTAAGTACAGCTATGGCTTCATACAGTTTTAAAATAATACGAGTTATCTTACTAGTGGTTCTTGATTCCCGATGATCCTAACAGCTGAGCTCAATTCAGTCATAAAATTTGTCTTGATTGATTCATATTGAGTTCAAGATGTTGATATAAGAATATTGAGTGTTACTAAATTTAATAGGCTTAAAATATCTAACTTCAAATAAACTTCACACACAAATAAGAATATTATTAAACCTTTAGACTTAATGCTTGTGTTTGTTGAAATCCATCAAATAAATATTATTTAGCCTATGAAAGTTTAATACACTATATTTGTCAGATTACTTGTTTAAAAACTTCCATATGAGTAGACCTTTCTAGTGATTTCATGGTAGTACTTGTTCATTTTTCCAACTTATTTGCCTTCACAGATTTTGGTAGACCAACAGGAAGTAATATTTTTTCCCTAAATTTGATCACATCATTATGAAGGATATTTTAATAAGGATGTTATTAGTTTTAATGTCATAATGTAAGATTAATAATGAAAACGATAATAGCAACAATAAATACTCTCTTCAACGCTATACACTTGTATATAAAATGTTATGTAGCGGAATTCTCGATTGAAATTTCTCATCTTACATACATTTGCTCCGTAAACTCCGGAATATAATCATCCATCATTGATTCAGTAAAAAGATTTTAAAAAAAGAAAGTATACCAAAAATTATTTCCTGAGCTTTATATTAAACTCACAAGCTGAAATCATGTTATTAGCATATAAGAATAGTTGATTGAAGTAAATTTAAAATATTAAATGTAACATGCACCCAGGTACATAATAAAACATTCAAATATATGACCAAGATATTTTACTTCACTTTTCTATCCCTAGGAATTCTGCTTATGTTTTTCTAGTTTTCTGTTACATTCTCGATATGTGACCTTGAATGAAATCATACGAAATCCTGAGGACTTCCGATATATATATATATATATATATATATATATATATATATATCTTGAGTAAAACGCTCATTTAATGGCTGACACATCTATTTTTATTCATAGGTTGACAACAGCTAAATTATCATTGGAAATTTGCAAGATTTAGACAACTTTTGACGAAGCATGGGATTTCTCAAAACGTCTCAGGAATCGAACCATAGAAATTCGAGTCGATAATGAATATTTAGATACCAGACCACAGTTGAAGTTCAATATAGGATTGCTGTACTAGTACAAAACATAAACCGAAGACATAAACAGTAGACAAAGAAATGTAAAGTTCTTTACTGTCATTAATAATTTATTAAGTTCTTCATCATGAAAGATTTACTATCGAGAGCATATGAAAATAAAGATCCTTCATTGTGACCGTACCGCTCTCATCTGCTGGGATCACCGGGTAAGTAATAGTTAGGTTAGACGCAAGGTATTAGAGAATGATAGTAAATTAGTTGATGAGATTGTGAATCTTCGTCGACTGAGATGGTTGGGCCACGTGTTACGTATGCCTAAATCCCGATTACCACGACGCACAATGCTGACTGGTGTTGGAGATGGTTAAAATAAATTTAGGGGCGACCAAAACGTGGAATCAGTGCTTGGAGTCACTAACTTTTGATCTGAGCCATGTTGGTAGATGCGGACTATGGGGTTGGGATCCGCGTGACTATCATAACCACTGCTTGAAGACTATGGGTGACATGGCTCAGAATCGATCACAATAGTGTAGGTGCATACGCTCTCTGTCTTCCCTTAAACTATGAGATTAAAACTGCCTTCTACCTTTATTTCAACGAACTAAATCTTTCTTCCTGTACTGTATCCTTATATATGTAATCTTTCTTTAATATATTACCACCATTGAATTGACTACTTTTGTGAATTCGGTGCTCATCTTATTGTGCTAATGAGGAATGACAACATGGACCGATGCATATATGTGCCTGGTCCTAGGTTATAACCGACTGACTGATTATCATCCGTAATCTATTATTCGTTTTACAGCCTTAACAAATAACGTCTCTGTGCTATCAAGACCACTGAAATTTCCGGATTTCTCACCGTAATTGCTTCTTCCTATCAACACAGATCACACCCTATAAAAGCAATATTTCTATCAAATATTTATATACTTAATTTATAAAAACAAAGGTTTTTATTTACGAATGTTATCTATAAAAAGATAATAATAAAAAAACATATTCATTGCAACAAAAGTCTAAGAATATTCTTATAAATGTTGCTCATTATTAAGTTAGTTAATATAATAATCTTTCTCACCACCGAAACCTAATCTATGATATATTAAAGGATACATATTCAGATTGCTAATCTTATCCATACAAAACTAATCAAGCATGTGAATAAATATTTATGGATAGAATGTGTTTATGTCATTTGTCGGATAAATAATAATAATAAGAAAAAGATAAGTGTGTTTTCCTTTTTTTTTCTTCTGTTTTTGCCAAACTGTAAACTAATACTTAACGTTTATAATTACTGTCATTGTTTATTTTGTTGTTGTTGTTGTTATTATTTAAACTGGAGGGAAAATTCAAATTGAATGTGTAAGCATTACAAATAAAAATGGATAAATTATATACACACAAAACGAAATACATTTGATTTTGATTATGATCGTGATATATTCAATCAAAATAATGATAAGAATTTAGGAAAAATGATTGATAGAAACCAATAAATTTATACTAGACTTCCTTATTTAAAATAATCCAACTGAGGTAAACAAATGTGGATAAAAAAAAGTGGTACTTTTTGTTTTCTTGGGAAAATAAAAGAGAAGAGTATCAAAGAACATTCCGTTTATAACATTGAACATAGTTGATTTGTCTGTTTGATTAAATTGGAGATATAATAAATGTACTAATACATGGATGTTATATAATAAACACTTATTGCACATCATATTATTAGTGCCGTTAGTTATATCAATAGTAACATTTGATTTACATTGTGTTCTGATTGGTGAAGCTCAAAAAAAAATTATTTTTAATAAAATGTTAACTCAGACATTAACACAGTTAAATGCCAATTCAATGATCTAGAGGTTAAGAGTCTACGCATGAGACCGAAGGTCCTGCGTTCGAGCCCCGCATATGAGATCATGTATACATACTGATGAGGAGTCACATACTTAGAAGAAATGAATATCGAGTGTTTCCAGGTTTTCAATGGTGGTCTAACATTAATTGCCTCATGATCCCGATTAAAATCCAACAATTTCCACAACCCTGTACTGAAAGTGTTAACAAATAAATAGTTCGGTGCATGCTACTTACTCTGACAGATTTAAGTAGTATGTAGCAGCATTTGTAATTGCAATGCCTATCAGAAGGAGATTGAAATAAATAGAACAAGAAAGGAAACGAAATACTTTTTAATGTATAATATTACAGAGGGACCATGACTAGCAGTAAATTTCAGAATACGGACAATCCATTGACTTTTTGGAGTTAAAAGTACTGGGTTCAAGTTTCAGTATGTACATCAACGTTGAGATACTGGCGCATCAAGTTGACTAGTCCTAAACAGAATAAACGTTACATCCAATTCCAGCAATAATCCATCAACTGATTCCATATGACATGACAAAATAGCCCTATTGTGACTATCTACCAATAAAGGCAGATCAGAATTTACTGCTGAATATAATCAAATAGGTCGTAATTTCTTGATCCAAATTGTTACTCAAAGTTTAATTTTCTAATTTCATCAAAGTGTTTATAAAGCTGATATTGCAATTAACTTGTTGTCTTAACGATCGGATGTGAAAAAAATACTACAAAATGCAAGCGAAACTATCGTAGTAGTTGTTGTATTTTCCTGATTTTAAGTTTCCCCGAATTATTAATATGCTATCATATTAAAAGTCAAGCATCAAATACATACCTGATGAACCAGTGTCACCAATGATATATACTGTGAAACGAAGACATATTACAACTAACTAGAGTTAAAAAAGACATATATATATATATATATCTTCAGCATCCATGAACTGAATAGATATAGAAAAAGAATTTAGTGTTTATTTTCTAGTCAGAAGTGTGTATTGTAACAAATTATGAAGTAACAAAAGTCTGATGATTATTATTTATATCTCTGAGCAAAGAGATCGATTTATACTGAATTAAGTTATCTGAATCAAATCCTGAACAATCGACCTAAAAGAACAAGATTCGGCTTCTCTATATAGAGAATGACATCAGGTTTAACTTCAGAAAACTGAACTTGTGTTCAAGAGCAGTATATTTATCCTTTCTGGTTAAAGTGGCACTTATCAATTTATTCGCTCTTGACTATATTATGCAACAAGACTTACTTATCATTAGTAATTTTGTAAAACTTCTGTTTCGTTATAAACTACTACATGTAAAAATTGCTTATAAATTAATTCCGTTTTGTGCAGAGGCTTATATAATACCAACCAAAATGACATTGAAGACTTCCATGTATCTAGATCAGAGAGTTATCAATCCCACTCAAACCAACCACATAAGCAACAAACATACCTCACTGTTTATAATATCCCTTGATTTTTAGTATCATCCATAAATCTTCCAATTATCTGAT